TTAATTCCTTTGATATTCTAGACCTTTTGTTCTTCCAGGTTAATTTTATTATTATTTCTAGCTCTATAAAATATTTTTGGTAGTTTGATTGGTATGGTCCTGAATAAGTAAATTAATTTAGGTAGAATTGTCATTTTTATTACATTAGCCAATCCCACCCATGAGCAATTGATATTTTCCCCAATTATTCAGATGTGACTTTATTTGTGTGAAGTGTTTTATGATTGTGTTCATAGAGTTCCTGGGCTTGTTTTGGCAGGTAGACTCCCAAATATTTTATATAGTGTATAGTTATTCTAAATGGAATTTCTCTTTCTATCTCTTGCTGCTGGACTTTGTTGGCAATAGATAGAAATGCTGATTTATGTGAGTTTGTTAGGGAAAGCTGTTCATTATTTCAAGTAGTTTTTTAGTTGATTTTCTAGGATTCTCCAAGTGTACCATCATATCATCTGCAGAGAGTTACTGTGCTTCCTCACTGCCTATTCTAACTCCTTCAATTTTTTTCTTCTCTTATTGCTAAAGCTAATATTTCTAGTACAATATTAAATAATAACGGTGATAATAAGCATTCTTGTTCCACCCCTGATCTTATTGGGAAAGCTTCTAGGTTATCCCCATTGCATATAATGCTTGCTGATAAAGACCACTTATTTTAAGGAAAATTCCATCTGTTCCTGTGCTCTGTAGTGTTTGTTTTGTTTTGTTTTCTTCTCTTTGGTGAGGCATTCAGGGTTAAGTGACTTGCCCAGGGTCACACAGCTAGTAAGTGTCAAGTTTCTGAAACTGAATTTGAACTCAGGTCCTCCTAATTCCAAGGCCAGTGCTCTATCCATTGTGCCACCTAGCTGCCCCCCATCTCTCATGTTTTTTAAATAGGAATGGGTTCTGTATTTTGTCAAAAGCTTTTTCTGCATCTATTGAGATAATCATATATATATATATATATATATATATATATGTATACATATATATATACATATATATATGTATGTATATACATATATATATGTATGTATGTATATACATATATGGCTAATTATGCTGATAGTTTTCCTAGCATTGAACCAGCCCTGCATTCCTGGTACAAATCCCACCTGGTCATAGTGTATTATCCTCATGATAAATTGCTGTAATCTCTTTGCTAATATTTTCTTTGAAATTTTTGCATCAATATTTATTAAGGAAATTGGTCTGTAATTTTCTTTCTCTGTTTTGGCTCTTCCTGGTTTAGGTATCAGCACTATATAGCTGTCAGAAAAGGAATTTAGTAGAACTCTGCCTATTTTTCCAAATATTTTATATAATATTGTAATTAATTGTTCTATAAGTGTTTGGTAGATTTGACTTGTAAATTCATCTGGCCCTGGAGATTCTTTTCTTAGGGAGTTCAATTTCTTTTTCTAAAATGGGTATATTTAAGTATTTTATTTCCTCTTCTGTTAATCTGGGAAATTTACATTTTTGTAAATATTCATCCACTTCACTTAGATTGTCAGATTTACTGGCATACAGTTGGGCAAAATAGCTAATTATTGCTTGAATTTGCTCTTCATTGGTGGTGAATTCACCCTTTTCATTTTTGATAGTGGTAAATTAGCTTTCTTTTTTTGTTTTATTCTATTCTCTTTTGTTATTAATTTGTTTATTTTTAGTTTTCAACATCCACTTCCATAAGATTTTGAGCTTTAAATTTTCTTCCCTTCTGACTTCTTCCCCCACCCCCCCAAGACTGCATACAATCTGATATAGGCTCTACATATACATTTATGTTAAGCATATTTTCCCATTAGTCATGATATAAAGAACAATTAGAACTAATGGGAGAATCTTCTTTCTTTTTAAAAATCAAATTAACCAAAGGTTTACTTATTTGTTTTTCTCCCCATAAAACATCTCTTAGTTTTATTTATTAGTTCAATAGTTTTCTTACTTTCAATTTTATTAATCTCTCCACTGATTTTCAGAATTTCTATTTTGGCATTTAATTAGGGATTTTTAATTTGTTCTTTTTCTAGCTTTTTTTAGTTGCATGCCCAATTCATCAATCTGCTCTTTCTCTATTTTATTTATATAAGCATTCAGACATATAAAATTTCCCCTAAGAACTGCTTTGGCTGCATCCCATAAATTTTGGTATGTTGTCTCATTATTGTCATTCTCTTTGATGAAATTGATTGTTTCTACGATTTGTTGTTTGACCCACTGGCTGAGGAACTCTGTGCCTCCCCTATAACTGTGGGGTGAGTTTTGATATCAAAGGAAGAGGCCAAGGAGCTCTAGACTGATTATAGGAGCTTAATCAATCATTACAATTCTTTACAAAGCAGGGGCAATCTGGGGCGGCTGCCAGATATTTCAGTGGATTCTCACAGAAGAACCCCCCAAATCCCCATGGTAATTATAGAAAACAGACAAAAACAAGAGGAGCGGGAGTGCCTCACTACTGATGGTGGGTGTCTTTAGTTTTCCACTTAGTAATGAGCTTGGGTGTTAAGCCAACATTCTGCCCCAACATAAGTACAGGTCACATATGGGTCATGATATTCTTGTTATGGCTTTCATAGCCATAGTATCTAAATTATGATTCATTATCTAAGTTATGATTTTTAACAGGTCATCCTGTTTGGGCTTCCACCTTTCACAGTGTTTAAGTTTTTATGGCTTTTCCCCAACTGGGACCCCTACACCTACTCATTCTCTACGATATTATTTAGTTTCCAATGAATTTTTAATTTACCTTTCCATGTCCCCTTATTACACATACCTTTTTTTATTGCATCATGATCTGAAAAGAATGTATTTAACATTTCTGCCTTTCTGCATTTGATTGTGAGGTTTTTATGCCTTAATGCATGGTCAATTTTTTTTGTATATGCCATGTACTGCTGAAAAAAAGGTATACTCCTTTTTATCCCTATTCAATTTTCTCTAGGTCTGTATCTAACCTTTCTAAAATTCTATTCACTTCCTTAACTTCTTTATTTTGTGGTTAGACTTGTCTAGTTCTGAAAGAGGGGAGGCTGACACCCCCCCCAGTATAGTTTTACTATTTCTTCCCGTAACTCACTTAACTTCTCCTCTAAGAATCCAGATGCTATACCACTTGGTGCATGTTTAGTATTGATATTACTTCATTATCTATGGTATCTTTTAGCAAGATGTAGTTTCCTTGCTTGTTTCTTATAATTAGATCTATTTTTGCTTTTACTTTGTCTGAGATCAATAGCCCTGCTTTTTTTTTTTTTACTTCAGCTGAAAAGAAATATATTCTGCTCCAGCCTTTTCTCTTTACTCTGTGGTATCTTTTTGCTTCATGTGTGTTATAGGATTATGGTTTTCAATCCACTTCAGTTTTATGGGAGAGTTCAGATCACTATGTATTTCTCGCCATCCTATTTTTCCCCATTTATACTTTTCTCTCCTTTCGCCTTGTTTCTCTTCACCAGTGTTCTGCTTCTGACCACCACTTCTCTCAATCTGCCCTCCCTTCTACCAGCCACCCTCCTCCCTTTTCTTTCTCCTCCAACTTCCCCATAGGGTAAGATTTGTATACCCAACTGAGTGTGTATGTTATTCCCTCTTTGAGCCAAATCTGATGAGAGTAAGGTTCAATGTTCACCCCATCCCTTCTTTCCCTCTACTGTAATGGGTCTTTTGTGCCTCTTCACGTGATATGATTTACTCCATTCTGCCTCCTTCTTTGTTCTTCTCCCAGTACAATCCTTTTTTTTCACAACCCTTTCACCCCTTTGTATCATCACATCAAAGTCAACTTTTACCCTCACCCTCTGTCTACGTACATGCCTTCTAATGCCCTAATAGAGTTACAGTTCTCAAGAGTTACAAGTATCATCCCCCCATGTAGGGATGAAAACAGTTTAACCTTATTGAATAACATGGTTTTTCTTTTCCCTGTTTACCTTTTTATGCTTCTCTTGAGTCTTGTATTTGAAGATCAAATTTTCTATTCAGCTCTGGTCTTTTCATCAGTTAAATTTGAAATTCCTCTATTTCATTGAATGTCCATCTTTTCCCCTGAAAGATTATACTCAGTTTTGCTGGATAGTTGATTCTTGGTTGTAATTCAAGCTGTTTTGCCTTCCAGAATATTATATTCCAAATCCTCTGATCCTTCAATGTAGAAGCTGTATATAATCCTGACTGTGGCTCCTTGATATTTGGATTGTTTCCTTCTGGCTGTTTGCAGTATTTTCTCCTTGACCTGATTATCCTGGAATTTGGCTACAATATTCTTAGGAGTTTTTATTTTGGGATCTCTTTCAGGAGGTGATAGGGGGATTCTTTCAATGACTATTTTACCCTCTGGTTCTAGGCTGCCAGGGCAGTTTTCCTTCATAATTTCTTGAAAGATGCTGTCCAGAATCTTTTTTTTTTGATCATGGCTTTCAGGTAGTCCAATAATTCTTAAATTATCTCTCCAGGATCTATTTTCCAGGTCAGTTTTTCCAGTGAGATTTTACATTTTCTTCTAATTTTTCATTTTTAAAAAAATTTCGTTTGACTGATTCTTGACGTCTCAGTCATTAGCTTCCACTTGCCCAATTCCAATTTTTAAGGAATTATTTTCTTCAGTTAGCTTTTGTATCTCCTTTTCAATTTGGCCAATTCTACTTTTAAAGTTGTTTTCTTCAGTGGATTTTTTACCCCCCATTTGGCCAATTGTATTTTTCCAGGAATTGTTTTCTTCAATCAATTTTTGTTCTTCCTTTTCCAAGCTGTTGACTCTCTCTTGCATACCTCTCATTCATTCCCCCGATTTTTCTTTCACCTTGCTTTTTTGATTTTTAAAATCCTTTTCGAACTCTCCTAAGACTTTTTGGTCGAGACCAATTCATATTCCCCTTTGACACTTCACATGTAGGCATTTTGACATTGTCCTCTTCTGAGTTCGTGTTTGGATCTTCCCTGTTGTTATAGTAGCTTTCTATAATCAGGGCTCTTTTCTGGTTTTTTTTCTTTTATGCTCATTTTTTAGGCTATTTTGCAACTTTTAAAGTTGACCTCTGTTCCTTGGGCGCAGGGGCCACTGTCCCAAGCCTCTTGTGCTGAGGGCCAGGGGCCAGGTCATTGGTTTTCCGTGCTGGGGTCTCTGGGGACTGACAGTTTACCCACTGTGCTGGGGTATCCCAGCGTAGCCACACCTGTTGTGCTCTGGGTTCCAGGGCTGGCAGCTTGCCTGCTGTGCTGGGGCTGGAGGCCTCACAGCTGGCCTGTTGAGGCAGGACCGAAAAGGGCCCCAGTTGCTCATCTGTGCTGTGGCTAAGAGCCTCCCACTGGCTTGCCCAGACACTGCCTGCGCTGGGCTGGGCTCCCCTTTGACCCAAGTGAGACACATCTTTCCTGAAGTCCTTCTAAGTTATCTTGGGCTGGAAAATTGTTTCACTCCCATCTTTTTGTAGTTTCTGTCATTCCAGAATCTGTTCAGATTTAATGTTGTCTCTGAAGGAAACTGGGGAGAGCTGAGGTTATTTCCAGGCTTTTCTCCACCATCTTGGCTCTGCCTTATTAAAATAGAGACTTTCAATGAATCATAATTAAATGTCTTCTCGTGAACAAAACCAGGAAGTTAGTGACACAGTGGATAGAGTGATAGGTCTGGAATCAGGAAGACCTGTATTGAAGTCCAGCCTCAGACACTCACTGTGAGACCACGGGCAAATCATTTAACCTCTCCCTGCTTCCACTTCCTCAATTATAAAGGGATAATTAAAGGAGCTACCTTCTAGGGTTGTCATGGGGATCAAATGAGACATTTGGAAAGGGCTTAGCACAGTGCTGGCACATAGTAGGAGCTTCATAATTGCTTATATCCTTCCTCTTTTACCACCCTCCCCTTCAATGTTGCTAGGATAAGGGAATTATCGATTGGAAAAAAATTTTTCCCAGTAAACATCCTTAAGAAGGGAATTGATCTAGCCATACCAAATCTCAAACTATATTATAAAGTGGTAATTATGAAAACAATCTAGTACTGGCTAAGAAGTAGTGTAGCGAATCAGTAGATTAGGTACATGTTACTTTAGAGTAAAATGACCACAGTAATCTAAAGTGTGATAAATGCAAAGAGTGACAAATGCTTTTGGAATAAAAACTCGTTATTTGACAAAACTGTTAGGAAACGGAAAATCAGTATGGCAGAAACTAGGTATAGACCAACATCTCACACCCTACAACAAGATAAGATCAAAATAGGTACATGATTTACACATAAAGAGTGTGAGCATAAGCAAATTAGGAGACCACAGAGTTATCAGATGTATGAATAAGGAAAGAACTTAGGCCCAAGGAAAATATAGAAAGTATTGCAAAATATAGAACAAAATTTTGATTATATAAAATTAAAGTTTTTGCACAAACAAAACCAATGCAACCAAAATTAAAAGCAGAAAACTGAGGGGAAAAAATTGCAAATTGATAAAGGCCTCATTTCTCAACTGTATTTCTCAAACTTTAGTCAAATTTATAAAAACACAAGTCATTCTCCAATTGATAAATGGTCAAAGAATGTTTTCAGCCAAAGAAATCAAAGCTATCTATAGTCATACAAAAAAATGTTCTAAATCACTGATTTAAAAATGCAAATTAAAATAACTCTGAGCTACCACCTCACCTATCAAATTGGCTAATATGACAGAAAAGGAAAATGATAAATGTGGGAAAACTGGGACACTAATGCACTGTTGGTGGGGTTGTGAACTAATCCAACTATTCTAGAGAGCAATTTGGAATTAAGCCCAAAGAGCCGGTAGGCCTGTATGCCAAAGACTTAAAAAAAAAAAAGGTTGGTGGGGGAAAGGACTTATTTGTATAAAAATAATGATAGCAGCTCTTTTTGTGGGTGGCTAAGAACTGGAAATTGAGGGGATGCCCATTGACTGGGGAATGGCTGGACAAGCTGTGGTGTATGGTTGTGATGGAATATGATTGTGCTATCAGATATGACAGAGGATGACTTCAGAAAAACCTGCAAAGTCTTACATGAACTGATGCAAAATGAAGTGAGCAGAACCAGAACGCTGTACGTATCAACAGCAATATTGTATGATGATCAAATGTGAATGACTTAGCTGCTATTCTCAGCAGTCCAAGGATCCAAGAAAATCCCAAAGAATGAACAATAATGCATACTATCCACCTTCAGAGAAAGAACCGATAGTGTCTGAATACAAACGGAGGCAGGCTGTTTTTCACTTTTTTCTTTCTTTTTTAAAATTTGTCTTCTTGTAAATGTTTTACATGCTTACACACGTATAACCTATATCTGACTGCTTACTGTTTCAGGGAAGGGGGAAGAGAGGGATAGGAATTTGGAACTCAAAACTTTAAAAAATATAAATGTTAAAATTGTTTTAACATATAATTGGGAGGAAATAATATACATCTGCCTATATATATGTGTGTGTGTGTGTGTGTGTGTGTGTGTGTGTGTGTGTGTGTGTGTGTGTGTGTGTAAGTAGGAATGCATGCATGCATTTATATATGTACATATGTGGGAACTGATAAGTCTAGGTAAGAATAAGAGCCTTTCCCTAAAGTTGATCAAAAGAAATGAACAGGTAGTTTTCAAAATCACCGAGAAAAAAATGCAACCTGAAACACCCCTGAGGTTTTATCTCCTGCCCATGAGAAGACAAAAAAGTCAAAGGATGAAAGCAGTAACAGCTGCGGGAGGGAGTGCTTCTGGGAACATAAGCTCACAGGTGCAGGTCTGGGGGGGCTAGGAATTTTTCCAGCTGTTGTAGAAAATGATCTGGAATCACACCAGAAAAGGCAAAATTAAGCTGTTCACACCCTCTGCCCCAGAAGGGTCCCCAGCGTGCCCACCCTTGCCATGTCCCGTGTTCCTGCAGCCCTTGGAGGGCCCCGGGATCCCTAACCCTTTAGCTGTCTGGTGGGGCTTCCAGGCTTCATGGAGGTCCCTTGGCTCCAGGCACCCTCGTCCTGAATTAGCCCACTCTCAGTACCCTGGACCAGCGAGCTCTGTGACCCTCGGTAGATGGAGCATTAACTCCTTAAGGGTATCCCCAGGGAAGCCGAGGCCCCATGATGAAAGACCAGCTCAGTCCTGAGGAACAGAGGAAAGGGGGTGGCTGTGGAATGGTAAAGTGCAGGACAGGGAGGGGCCCTGGAAATGCCATGCAGGAGGAGCCAGGCAGCCAGAAACAAAAGGCAGAGCCACAGAGGCCCCCTCTTTGACCAGCAGCCCGGGGGCCAGCCTCCATGCAGAATTAGTGCTGCTGGCATCAGTCAAAGAGAGGACCGGGGAGACTGGCTGAGCAAGCAAAGAACCTGACTGGACCTCTGGACGATGGAGCTGGCGAAGGCAGAGGGGAGGCCCCACGAGCGCCCAATGCATCACCCTGCTGGCCTGAGGGCGAAGACTGGGAGCAACTCCAGAAGCCGACAGGCCAAGGCTCCCAATTAAAAAAGCCATCTCAATCAAGCAACAGAACGAGTATTCTGCGACAAAGGAAACAGTCAATCAAGCCGGCCAGGTGATATAGCGGATAGACCTTTGGAACTGCAGTCAGGCACACCTGAATTCAAATCCTGCCACAGGCACTTTTTAGGGGGTCACTCCTCTGTTTCCTCATCTGTAAAATGGGCGTGAGCACCAGCTCTCTCCCACAGCTGTGAGGATCCAGGGAGGTCTTGGCACCGCATGAGAGGGCACGTAAGGTATGAGTACTAGCAGTCATCCTTCTACCCCGAGGAAGGCAGCCTGACAGCAGGGCAGCGGGCTCCGCCCCCCCGGGCTCCAGCCGCAGTTTCTGAGAAGGAGCGCCACAACCCTGCAAGGCATTAACTCCCAAACCATTTATTTCAGCTGCTTTGTGGGGTGACTGCCCAGCCCCCACCCAGGACTGCCGCTTCCCTCCCCCCCACCCCCCGCCATGGCCATGGAGTCTGCCGGGTCCTGCTGCTCTCCTGTCCCACCAGCTCTGGGCTCTGGCCCCGTGTGATGGCTCCGCGGCCTTTCCTGGTCCGGGTGGGGGTGTGGGGGAGGGGTCCCCAATGGAGTTTGCTATGAATCAGAGGCTGCTGCAGGGAGGGGGCCTGGGCTTCCACGCTGGTCACTGGGAGAAGCCTCAGTGGTGTCTGGACAGTCCTTTGCCTGGGCCCCCCCAGCAACAGGGGGATGGGGGAGGGGAGGGGAGCTCTCTGGGGAAGAGCCCCCCATGGCAGCGGCTGAAGGGCCATTGGGATGATCCACCCTCTCGAACAAAATCAGCATCTCACAGTGCAGGGTCTGTGGGAACAGGTCCACGGCCACGGCCCGCACTGGGCGGAAGGGAGAGCCCTTCACCCTGTTGGAGGGAGCTCGACAAAGGCTAGGGGGGAGAAGAGGGGCATCAGTGTCCAGCTAGGCTTCCTCCCCTCCCTGCAACTGGCCCTGCTGCCCAGTGCAATGGCTCTGGAGGGGGCAGCCTCAGGACAAAGGGCCTAAGCACGTGGAATGGGCAGAGCGGCCAGGTAGGCTCCGGGAATCCAGCGGCCCTCAGCCCCCTTCTCACCAGACTCAGAGGCACTCCTACAGCCCCTCGCTTGACCGAGGAGGAGACGGAGACCCAGAGAGGACCCTGGCTGGTAAGAGGCTGGGTGGGGCTGCCTCCATCAGGCAGCTTGAATCATGGGACCCCAGCCTGTGAGTGCGAAGGGCTGAGCTTTAGCAAACTCCAAACCTGCTTTCGGTCACAAATTCTTGAGTCCTGGAGATCTTCCTGATCCGAGCCCCTTATGCAGAGGGGACGGAATGGCCAAAGTGCGGGGGACCGGAGGATTGCCCAGGCCCTGCTTCCCCATCCCTGAAGGCTCCACACTTTCCTCCCCACACCCAAGAGGGGCCCAAGCAGAACTCACTCCACAAAGTTTGTCATGGCTGCCCGGGGATTGCAGGAGACATAGAGTAGTTTTTTCAGGTGCTCAGCTCTCCGGATAGCCAGGATGACTTTGGAGTCTGAACGGAGGGGAGAGAGGTCAGTGAGGAGGAAGGGCAGCAGCAGGCCAGGTCGGGCCAGAGGCCACACTGCATTCCCAGGGTGGCCCTCCTTTCCGTCTCTGCCCCTCAGGCCCTCTCTGCTGGGCCCTGCCCAGTCTATGTGCCCACCCCAAGTCCTTGTCACTCACGCAGCCCTGCTCGGGGTGGATCCACAATGGCAGTCAGCTTCTGTGAGGCCAAGGAGCTCATCAGGGAGGGGACCAGGTTCTCAGCCTTGCCACAGTGAAACTCGATGTTGTCCAGGGCTGCATGGGGGAGAAAAACCCAAGAGCTAGGCCCCAGCATCCCCGGCTATGTGGGCAGCTCCAACAGCCGACCCCAGAACTGCTGGACCCCGAGGACAGCAAGGTCCCCTGAGTCACAGGCCACTCAAGGGGTCTCTTTTTCTTTCCCAGAAGCTTAGCCTAACCTGCCCTGTCCCCAGAGCTCCTGCTCCTGCTCTCCCAGGCCACCCCATGGTCTGATCTTGTTCCATATGACTAGAAGGGCACTTTGTTTCCCCTGCATATGTGTAGAGACAGACAGACACAGACAGACATAGACACACACACACACACACACACACACAGAGGAATGGCTGCTCCTCCAGCCCCATGCCCCTTCCCTCCCAGGCCAGGCTGTAAGACCAACCAACCATTAATCTTGGCATTCACTCGGGCATCTTCCACGGCTTCCTGGCACAGCTCGATGCCAATTACTTTCTTCACTTTCTAGAAAGGAGGAGAAATGGACTCAGGATCCACCTGTGAGCCTACTTGGGGACCTGAGATTCCGTTGGTGCGAGGACCCCTCCACTGAGGGAAGCCAGCCCCTCCTCTGTCACTCAAGGAAGGCCCTAAGATGAGCACAGACTGGCCTAGGGCCACACAGCCAGCAGGGGTCAGGAAGGGGCCCTCCTGCCTCTGAGGCTGCCAGGGCCAGTGCTCCTCCCATTTTGTAGGTGGGGAACATGAGGCTCAAGGCAGTGGAGGTGTCTGCCTCGGGTCCCAGAGCTCACGACTATCGGTCAGACATTCCCTGGCTCTTCACTCTCCGACAAGGGACGTCCCCCCTCTCCCGCTGTCGCAGCCCAGGCCCCGCCTCCTCAGGTCACCCAGGACCATCGAAGCCAGTCGAGCAGGGCCCTGAAAGAGGTGCCTTTCGGGATCCCCGAGGAGAGAGGCTCAAGCTCACCTGGGCCAGGGACAGGCTGATGGTGCCGGTCCCGCAGCAGACGTCCAGCACGGTGCTCTCCCCGTCCAGCTGCGCCCAATCCTGAATGGTTGTGTAGAGGACCTCAGCGGCCGGTGTGTTCACCTGGTGAACCACAGCTGGGATGACAGCCAGAACCCGAGCGCCCCCATTTCCTTCTCCTGCTGCCTCCACAGGCCCACCCGGAGAGCTGACAAGGACTCACTCAGGCTCACATCCACTCACAGAGACCCCAGGAACAAGCTGGGCAAAAACCACCCAGAACCAATGTGTCTGGGTGAGCCCCAGGACACCGAGATCTGGAGCTGCTCAGAAACGACCCCAACTGTCCACATCCAAAGAAAGAACTATGGAAGTCAAATCGCTATCACTTATTTTTACCTTCTGTTGAGTTTCGTTTCATCTTTCTGATGGTTCCTCCTATTGGTTTTAATTTGTACTTACAACTTCACTAATGTGAAAATATGTTTAACGGGTATGTAAATGTAAAGCCTATATCAGATTGTGTGCCGTCTTGGGGAGGGTAGGGGGGAGGAAGGGGGAGAAAAATTTTCAACTCAAAAGCGTATGAAAAAAAAAAAGACCCCAGTCCGTGGCCCCTCCTTACCCAGCAGAGGCAGAATCAAGACACTGACGAAGTGCCTACCATACACCAGGCACTCTGCTAAGCACTGCATGTACAAAGCAGGGCAGAGGTGGCCCGTCCCCAAGAAGCTCCTGCTCTAGTGGGGCAGACATGGGGAGATGAGCTGAAGGGGTGTGGCTGACTGATGAGCTTCTACAGGCAGTGCCATCTTAGACTCAACATGTGCACACTGGAGCAACCTCCCCTCCCCCACCTTCCCTTTCACTGTCTAGGGCAATCCCTCAGCCCCTAACCCAGGAGTCATCCTGGACTGCTCACTCTCATCCCCCACCCCCACATTCAATATGGCGCCAGGGCCTGTCGATTCCCCCTCTTGTGCAGACCCTCATCACCTCACCATGGACCCCTGCCACGGCCTGGGCGGGGAGGGGTCTGCTGCCTCCAGATCATCTGACCATGTCATCCCCCTTCTCCATAAACTGCTGTGACTCCCTAGCACAGCCTCCAGGCTTCATACAAAATGCTCTCGTTGGCCTTCCAAGCTGTCCACAAGCTGCCCCTCCTCCTTTTCCTGCCTCCGTACACCACTCCGTAAAACACACTCCGATCCAGCGACCCCGGCCTCCCGGCCAGTTCCATCTCTGTGCCTGTGTGGTCAGCTGACCCTCCTGACCAGAACACCCTTCCTCACATCCCACTCTTGGAGTTCCCTGGCTTTCTTCACAGCAGCCTCCCCCTGTAAGGTCCCTTTCCATTTACTCCATTTTAAAAACTAACTCTCCCCACCCCACCATCAGTAAGCACAGCCCCAGTCTCCCTCCCCAGGGGAAAGAAAGGAAATAAAACGATGCCACAACAAACAGCCTCCTCCAAAGCTGCCCGCCTGGAGCGTCCCCGCTCCACCTGCTTGCCACGCTTCTGAGAGGCCACCACAGTGCTCTCTCAAGATTCCTTGAAATGGCTAACCTGGCTCTTGGGCAGTCTGCTGATTCTCAGGTTCCCTCCTGGCTCTCTGCTCCAGGTGGGGCGCTTCTGATCGGCACGTGACAGGTTCTTTTGACTTTGTATTTTTGGTTTTTTATTTTCTCAGGGAGTCATTCATTTCTATTTGATCTATTTTAGTTTGGAGGGACGCAGTTTTTTGCCTGTTGCGTTAAACTCTTAATTAATTCTCTTTTTGAGTTTCTCCTCCACAGCTCACATCTTTCCCAGTGCTTTCCTTTAATATGCTCAATTCACTCAGGCCATTTAAAACTTCTTCCATGACTTTTCTAGGAATTCTACTGGATCTAGTGGGAAATCTGTCTTTTTTTTGAGGCTCTGCTCTGAAGTGTCGGAATTATTTTCCTCTTCTGAACTGGAGTCCCGGGCACCCCTGGCCTCGTGATAGCTAGGTGGTGCAGTGGGTACAGTACTGGGCATGAAGTCAGGACTCGAGTTCCTGTACAGCCCCAGACACTCACTAGCTGTGTGGGCTAGTGTGTCACTTGGGCAAGTCACTTAACCCTTATTTGCCTCAGTTTCCTCAACTGTAAAATGGGGATAATAACAGCATCTACATCTCCAGGTGGTTGTAAGGATGAAATGGGAAGATATTTGTAAAGCACTGGGACCAGCACCTGGCACACAGCAGGCGCTATCTATGCATTCCCTTCTCTTCCCTGTGCCCTCAGGCTCTTCTTTCTTCCTAAATTCTGCCCGTGCTCTTCTCCTCCATCTTAAAAATCCTCATTTAAACAGCAAACAAAACAAGGACTTCCACAGATGCAGCGGATGCAGCCCTCCCTGCTTTTCACAGTTGCCTCTCCTTCCGAGGACAGCTTAGCTCTGCCGCCTCTGGTGGGCAGCCAGCTCAGGCCCCTCCTTGGGTGAGGCCAAACGCTTCCCCTTAAACCTCCCGGAAAGCCCTGACGACTCCGGGTGAGCGTGCGAGAGCCGGCAGGGGCCTCGGTGGCTCCCTAGTCCAACCTGACAGAAGAGCCTCCTTTCCTACGTCCCCCCAAAGGCCCAGCCTGGCCTCCATCCTTGCCTCTCCCCCAGCTCTGCAGTACAAGGCCTTCACAAACCCTCCCATTTTCTTACCCAGCCCTTGCCATCCAGTCACATCTGGTGGACGTCAGGGGGAATGGTCAGCCCTGTCCCCAAACTCTCCTCCAAGGACAGCAGAGAGAGGGGGCAGGAGGCCTGGGCTCTGCTCCCAGCTCAGATGCTTCCCAGCTGAGCGGTTCCCTGCCAGTCCCTGCCACTCTCAAAGCTACACTTCCCTTACCCTAAAACCAGGAATAACACCACATGCACGACCTACCTCGCAGGTCTGTCATGAGGAAAGTGCTAAGGAATCAAGAGTCATTATTTTGGGGGTTCCAACCTGTGACAGCAGTGATGTTAAACTCAAACAGAAACGGGGACCGTGGGTGCTACGGACCCAGAAAACCACAGCCTGACAGGATCTACGTTGTGTGGCACCTTTGTCTCTCAGAGTGACTACACGACCATCACTGCTGCTCTAGTGACCGGCCCCGGGAGCGAGGCGCTTCGTGAAGCCGGCCTCAAGCCGGGGGCCTTAGACAAGCAGCACCTTCCTGTCTTCTGAACTGATTTCAAACTGAGGCAGAATGAGTGCAGGAAGGGCCTTGCCTCGGGTCACACTGCGATTAAGGCCTTTGATCTAATGTCTCTACGGAGTGGACACCTAATACAGACAGGGAAACCGAGGTACACTGCTTGGCCACGGGGACGCTGATGGATTTGCTCCCAGAGGACCAGGTGTGAAAGCCTGCAGCAGCTAAGGCTCAGCCTTGTCATTCTTGGGCCTGACCTTGTGGGACTCTGGCCACCAGCTGCAAGGTGGCTTTTGACACGTCCCTTCCCCTCTCAGGGCCTCAGTCCCTCACCAGGGACCCCAAAGCCTCACACACAACCCACCCCTCCCTCTGGAAGGGGGTGTCGACAAGCTGCCCTGTGGGCTCCCTCCCCCTCCTGAGGAGTCCCCAGAACTGCTCCACAGGTCTCTCTACAAGGCTCTCCAGGGTCCTTTCAGCTTGAAATATTCTGTGCCTTCTCACAGAAACCCTCATTCCACCTCCGACCCACCCACATTTGGTCCCTCTGGGTCCCTTCCGATCCAAAGACCTGGATCCCTGCCCCCCATGCCTGGAGTGTAGCCCTCTCCTCCTCTCCTGGCTTCAGACCTCCACAAGTCCTTCCCACTGGTTCACACTCCTGATGCCTTCCCTCTGCTGATTTCCTCCCATCGTACACACTTGTCTCTGTGCCCCCTCCCCCCTTATACAGGAAACTCCTTCTGGGCAGGGGCTTAGCACAGTGCCTGGGGCACAACACAGCAGGCATTAATAAATGCTAGCTGCCATACCTGGAAAAATGCATGAGGGGAAATCCGGAACTTGAGCCCCAGAAGCTCCTCATGTATATATTTCTCTCCCGCAATGTGCTCCAAGGGCAGGTCCTCTCTGTTGGGAGACTTTCTGAGGACAGAACACAGGAAGACGCCTCCAGCATGGGGCAAGACAGAGCGGACACACAGGGGTCCCTCTCTTCAGACTCTAAGTCACAGAACAGCCACCAATCGGCTCACGGAGGGACCCTGGGTCTGGGCCTCACCTTCTTCCCCAAGCCCTCTCCTGTTCTAACACCAGCGACTGTGCCACCCACTCAGCCAGGCCCCGCGGCTGCCCTCTTCCTCCTCCCCAGACCGTGGCCAGGCCAGGCGCGCCCAGGGATGCCTCACCTCTGCCCCTCCTCCACGAAGTAGAGAGAGGTCACCCCACTGAGCCGGCCGGGCTCCTCCATGAAGTGCTGACTGAGGGAGGCTTTCAGTCCCACCAGTTCTTCTTTACTGAGTTTCTGAAAGGCCAAGAGGAAAGGCCACACTCAGATGTGCTGGCCTGACTGACGGGGGAGCCTTCGGCCCAGGCTGGTGAGGTCAGTTAGCCTGGGACAGCACTCAGGGGGTCACTGCCCCAGGCAGAATCAGACAGGTGCTGAGCCAAGAGTGCAGCGTCCTGGCTGCTGGAGCAGCTCAGAGGCGTCAGGGAGACTAGGAATGCCACCTGGGCAGCAAGTTGCTTCCTTCGAGCCTGTTTCCTCATCTGTAAGTTCTCCTTGACTCCCCCCTCCCCCCGACCCTGGCTCCTTCTGCCTCCTTGGCTGGATCGTCCTCCAGGTCACGCCCTCTCACCATCTGTGACTCTCGGGGCTCAGTCCTGGGCCCTCTGCTCTGCTCCCATCTCTGTGCTGATGACTCTTAGACCTGCCTGTCCTGCCCCTGCCTCTCTGCTGACCTCCCAGCTCACATCTCCTATTGCCTCTCAGACATCTCCCCTGGAAGCCCAGGAGACACCTTACACTCAACACGTCCTTCTCTTTGCCCCTCCTCCCTTTCCTATTACTGTCGAGGGTACCGCCTTCCTCCCAGTCCTCCAGGCCCCAACCCAGGACTCCTCAACATCTCACTCCCCATAACCAAGCTGGTGCCAAGGCCCGTCGATGTCACCTCTGCAGCATCTCTTGAATTCACTCCCCACTCTCCTGGGATGCCACCTCCACCCTGGTGCAGGCCCTCATCCCCTCACACCTGGACCATCAGAATCACCTGTAGGTGGCTCTGCCTGGCTCCAGCCTCTCCCCACTCCAGACCACCCTCCATTCAGCCACCAAAGGGCAGGTAAGACTGAGTCACCCCGTCCTCAGTAAACCCCCGTGGCTCCCTATGGCCTCCGGGACGAAACATGAAACACTCTGGTTGGCCTTCAGAGCCCTCCATAACCTGCCCCACAGGCTCCTGGCTGGTCCACAAAATTGACCTTCGATCTCTCAGCTTCGGGCTGCCCCTCCCCTGTGCCTGGACAGCTCTCCCTCCTCCACTCTGACCTCTGACCTCCCTTCAAGTTCCACCTAAAACCCCGCCTTCTTCAGGAAGCCTTTCCCCAGCCCTCTTTGTTCTGTCCATTATTTCCTAGTTATCCCGCAGGCACAGGGCTTGCTTTGAACATATTTGTTTGCTGGTCACCCCTGTCGGACTGTAAGCTCCCTGAGGGGAGGGCCTGGCTTTGGCCTCCTTTTGTATCCCCAGGATCCCCAGGGCCTGGCACACAGTAGGAGCTTAATAAATGTTTATGGATTGATGGACAATCTCTGAAGCCCCAACTTCATGGGAGGTTTGAGAGATCACATCTGCAAAGCAACAATATTATTATTGACATAATAACAATAACGATAGCTAACATTTACATCCACTCCTACTATGTGCTAAGCGCTTTACCACCATTATCTCATTTGATCCTCACAACAACTCTAGGAGGGAGGGGATGTTATCATTCCCACTTTACAGATGAAGAAAAAGAGGCAGGCTGAGGCAAAGTGACTTGCTCAGTGTCACACAGCTATTAGCGTCTCAGGATGGATTTGAACCCAGGTCTTCTGGCCTCCACGCCCAGTGCCACCAAGCTGTGACTTCCACTGGTCTCTTAGCACCCTAAGGCCTTCCTGACTTGCCTCCAGAGCACCCCTGACCTTCTTGAGGGCCCCTGATTACTGCAGGGCCTCCCCAAAGCCTCTCCAGAGCCCCAGCCCGAGCCTCAGGTTTCCCGGCGGCAACGCGGCCAGTGCCTGAGGGGCACGAGCCAGACGCACAGGAGGGACATCCTGCACAGGACACGGAGTCCGGCTCAGCGAGGAGGGAAACCCTTCATGCTCCTTTCCAAGGCTTTGATTTTCAGTGATTCACCAAGGGTCCCTCCTTCTCCCAGGGGCTGAGAACCACTGCCAGGGATCTCCCCACTCCCAGCTTGGGCCTGGCCAAAAGCTTGTCTGGCCTGCAATAAAAGTGACCAATCTGAACCCTTTGTCCTCTGTCTCAACAGTACCACGAGGAGATGGGCCCCTTCTTTCTGTGCCTCAGTTTCCTCATCTGTAAAATGAGGGGCTTTGCCTCAGTCCTCCATGGTCTTCCTCCAGGCCCAGATCCAGAATCCTAGCCATGGTCCTGGCTCAGGTGACTTTATACCTTGTTGGACCTCTGCTCTTCCATCTGTAGGTGGAAGGGGGCACAGCAGGGGGCCTGAGCAGCCCCTTCCAGCTCTCTCTAGGACCTTCCTCCTCCTCCTCCTCCTCCTCTCCCACAGTAACAAGGACAGCTCCCTTTAAGGGTCACTCAGAACCCTGTGAGAAGGGCAGTCCAAAGACTGCCCCCATTTTATAGATTAAACAGGCACAGAGGGGGCACATGGCCGGGTCAGAGATGGGACGTGGGGGCCCATGCACCTGTAAACGAGAGCTGAACCCTCCTTTTCAAAGAGAGAGAACAAAACAGCCCATGGAGCTGCCAGGCCCAAGGAAGAACCAGGAACACAAGACCTGGGGCAGGTTCTCATGCTGGAGGACTCTGGGCATGTCCCTGTCTGTCTGAGCCTCTGTTTTTTCATCTGTAAAATGTGGCCAAGAATCTCAAAATGTGTCTTCTGGGCCTTCAAGTGCAGCAGGCCCAGAACCGTCGTTATCCCTCTTCTCTCCGAGGCCTCCGGGACGTTCCCGGGGAAGCGTTCCGAGGCCAAAAAAGGCCTCGCAGGCAGAGGCTCAAGAGCAAGTACCTGGGGGTGGAAGTAGACGATTGCCATGATCTCCCCACTGCGGCTGGTGCGCACCGTGAGCTGCCGCCAGTGCCCCTCGTATGTCTCCGGGCTGTACACAGAGTAGGGGGTCGACCTGCAAAGAGCCGCCCCCAACATCAGGGACAGCACAGACCCACCCAGCCCCCAGGGCTCCAGAGAGCACTCCTCTGATTTCACTCTGGGTGAAGCTGGCCAGCTCCTGGTAAAAGCGATCCAGCTAGGGACAGAGAGACCCAAGACACAGGGATGCCAAACGTCAGTATCCAGCCACAGGCTCTGGGAAAAGTCCGAGGGGTGGCAGCAAATCTGGACATGTCCAACTGTCCTCACCTGGCCTCAAAAGGACACCTTTCCGCTCGCTAAGCCTGGGGCTGGCTGCAAAGTGCCTCCCCATCTTCTCTCTGTGGGAGCCGCCAAGAGCTCTTCTTGTCCAGCCCCTCCCCCTCCCTCCTCAGCCACATCTACCACCCTAGGCTGTGAGCACGAGGCCACAGTCCAGGGCTGGCCTCCTCTCTCCAAGGGCCCCGTTCTGCTAACTGGGGGGAGAGGGGACAGGAAAGGCTCAGCTCCCACAGGCCTCACACACCGAATGTACTCCTGGAAAGCCCGGACCACACGCTTGGTGCCTGCGGGATGTGGACGGTGTCAAAGGGCTCCACCACCGCACACGTACCGCCCTTGTACTTGCCCAGGCGGCAGCCCACCGTCTTATCTGCCTGGTCCACGCCCATGCCAATCAGGAACTCACACTTGTTGCGGTATTCGGTCTGAGGAAAGAAAACGGACACGTTGGCCAAGCTCTGTTTCCCTTCACAAGAACGCACTGAAATCCTGGCTTGAGTCCAAAGCACCCAGTCCCAAGGGTCTGGTTCAGCGGGATCTTCACCCGAGCACGAGGACAGAGAGATGGCCTGGCACCCCTCTGTCAAGGTGCTGCAAGAAGCTCCAATTGTTAGCTTTTTGGTTTTAAGGACCCCCCCCCCCATGCTCATGTACATGTACCAACCCCCCCGAGAATCAGCCCTTGTAATGAAGGGTTAAAAAAAAGGGCACCTCAGTACAAGTGGACAGCCAATGTATGCAGGGCTCCACACCCACAGGCCCACATCTCCAAGGGGAAGGGTCTATTTTCTCCCTTTTCGTGACGTGGTTTAAAGTACAGATTCAGTACTCAGGAGGGAGGGAGGGGAAGTCAGGGTCTGCAGGCCAGCATCCTCCACAGCCTGGAATGATGAAGGCCATCAACAAGCCATCAAGGACATGAAGAGTGGAATGGACACCTTCTAGTCGAGGGGGCCCTGGACCGCCCTCTCTTCATGAGAAGAGTCCAAGCGAGGAGCAGGAAGGAGTGCAGGCCTCTGCCCTGGCTGGTCCTGGAAGTACATGGATCAGCAGAACGCCCAGGGTAGGTGCCGAGAACGGGGAAGGGCCAGAGCCAGGCCCCACAGAAGACTAATGGTGGCTGTCCTCAAGCCCTCTGAAGGGCTCCCAGGCAGACTGACCACTTGTCAGGGACACTCTGAAGGGGATTCCAGGTCTGCCCGCTGACACTCACTGGACCACAGATGATGAGGCAGAAGGGAGCCTGGAGCTCGGCCCCTCATTTTAGAGATGAGGACACTGGGGCCCAGAGAGAAGACGAGGACTCGCCTGCCCAGTCCAGCCTGTCCCGGGCTGCCTCTCCTAAATCACAGACTTCAAAATCCCCTTATGCCCTCTCCCCTTTACAGAGGAGTCCACGGGCTGAGGCAGGCCCTCACTGCTACTGCGTGATCGGCAGAACCAGGGTTCGGTCCTTCTGGAGATCTGTCGCTAGTTTTCATTTTTTTATCGCCAGCTCCCCTGCCCCCCAGGAGAAGCCAAGCAGAAGCCCCCTTCCCCACCTGCCCTGGCAGGTCTGTCCAGAAGGCAAATCTCAGTCCGCTTGACACCCCCTCCTCCCCGCCCCTGCCCCAAAGGCGGTAGCTAGCTCTCTGAGCCCTGGGGACACTCCGGCTCCAGGAAGGTGGGGCAGGAGACCTGGTCACCTCTGTGGGGGTCTCTGAAGGCTGACTCCAGTCCACAAAGATTCACCGGGTGCCCAGAGGTACTAGGACATAGCCAGGCTTGGTGGGGAGATCCCCGTGCCCTGATGAGGAGGGGCTCCACTGGGCACACAAGAGGGGACAGAGAAGCAGGGCTAATCTCACTGCTGGATCCACCTCTTGCTCCCCCAAGCCAGGAGTTGGGCGAGGACCTCACCCCTCCGCGGCCCACTGACTCTGCAAGACGCTGCTTAAACCCGGCCCCTCCCCACGCCCATCCAGCCGAAGGCATCACAGGCACTCTGGGCTTCGTGCCACCAGGGGGCTGGAGCACGGATCCCAGCTCTGTCGTGACAGCCACCTGCGTAGCCCTGGGCAAGGTCCTGCCTCTCTTTGGGTCTCAGTTTCTCACCCCCATAATTCAGGGGCAGCCATGGAAAGGAGGCAATGGCTTAGAGAGGCTACAGTGCCATGGTGGTTCACCTTGTCACAAGGGGAGACAAGGGAAAGTCACAGTGACGTTAACAAAGGAAACAGGAAAACACAGAGATGGCTCCAACCACAGAGCCGGCCCCGGCCACGGCTCTGGCCAGCGTGCGTGGTCGTAGGGAAGGCCGGGCAGGAGGCAGTGAGGACACCTATCAGTCCTGACAGACACAGATGTGGGGAACGAGAAAGTGGGCGGAGATGAATTTGTGAGTCACAAACAGACTGATGTGCAAAAGTGTCATATTTCACTGTCTAATCACTGCCGAGCTCATGCCATTTCTTTTGCAAAAAAGTGGGGTGTGAGCATTATGTGAAGTTTTTTAAAAAAACTTGTTTCAATATTAATTAAAAATCACTCCCTGCTAAACTGTATCGTTGGCAGGCAAACTGGACAATTTAGCCAGCGTGGGGAGATGCGAGTCTGACCACATCACATGACATATTCGTGGCAGCTCTTCACTGGGGTGAGTGACAATACTGTTAGCACAGCAGCACTCGGCTTTGGAAAGATGCTTGCAACGTGCCAGAGAGAAATGCACATCCACGTGCCTCAGGGAATACGCTGCTGCTCTGTTTACCTTTTGAGCAGCGTGGGGACAGAATGACAGCACAGCACTTCGTCATTACATGATGAAAAGAGAGACAAAAAACCAAAACCAGGATGCAACAATTAGGCCGTGGCGAAGATGCTGTGGTGAAATAAGGTAAGTTTCCAATAACACACTTAATTAAAAATCAAACAAAATGATAACACAGGGCTCCCGTTTGCTCTGAGGCCCCTCCTAAACCTACCACTCCAGGAGGCAAGGCAGGACCTGTGAGGAGGGAGGGAAGAGGTCAGTACTGGACAGCACCTCCTGGCAGACGTAGCACCATCAGAACACGCCAACCGGAGCCTCCGTGGACACAGACCAGGGAGCAGCAGAAGGCCCAGCCTGGAGAGGGCAGTGCCCTCACTTCCCAAGCCAGGAGCGGCCCCCGTGACCTCACCTGAAGTGGGGACGCCTTGACACCTTCCAGGGGGCAGCAGATCCCGTTGAATTTCTGTTTTTGCATAAACAGCCAGGGCAGCAGGGCACGGTTGTTGTTCCCAATCTCCCTGGAAGACAGCAGACGAGGGGATGCTCAGCCTGGTCGATACCGGACAGCTGCCTCCTGGCCTCCCACCCCAGGCCGCAGGGCAGCAAGTCGCAGTTCCTCCGCGCCAGGGTCTCCCGGGTGGACCAGCCCTACCTGAGGGAGCTAAGAGAGGGCCAGACCTGCCAAGGGTCCTGCGCTGTGCTGGTCACAGAAGGGTCCAGAGACCCCAGGGCAACGGGAGGGGCTGGTCCCCAAACTCAGGCCCTGGCAAGATCCTGATAAGGCAATATGGCACACCAGAGCTGCTAAGAACTGGGTTCAAATCCTGCTCCTGAAAGACACTGGCTCCACAACCACATGCCAGTCACTGGACCTCTCTGAGCCTCAGCGTCCTCATCTATAAAACAACACTAAGATTAGTCACGTGACCTCAAATGAGATCACATGTGTAAAATGGTTTATAAACCCCAAAGTGCTGCATGAGCGGGTCCTTTATCTGACAATTCATGGCCAGACTCCCTCACCTCCAATGAGCCAATCAGACCGGCGGGCAGGAGCGACCTCCCACAGAGCCTGTCCCTTTGGGGCACAGCTCAGACGCTCCATCCTGATCCCCAAAGCTGTTACAGCTCTCCCATCCTCCAACCAGGAAATAACTTAACAGACACTGAGAATGTCCTGCAGGTGGCTGTGGGGAGCTAACCACCTCTGGCCATTCCCAGGGCCTTCTTTTCTCTGGCAGTTGGCCTCAGATGAGGGACTAGGGTGGGGGCCCTGGAGCCTCCTCCTTCCAGTTACAGATACCACCAACTTGCTTTATTGATGGAGAAACTGAAGCTTAAAGAACGGCAGTGATCTCACACTCTCAGAGCTGTCTGACTATGAACGGGGCCCTGTGAATGGGCTGGACACACACACACACACACACACACACACACACACACACACACACACACACAGAGGATATGACCCGCAGGACTCCCTCCAGCCAAGGATGGGCGCAGAGCTGCAGCCATACCCCACAACAGGGCAGGCGGCCAACAGATGTTAGCTGAATGAATGCATGACTGTGAGTACGTGGGAGCAGAGGTAGTCCTCCAGCTTAGCAAGGAGTTAAGTGCTTAGCATCACAATAACAGAGGACACTTAGCTAGTGCTTGAAAGGTTGCAGACTTCTTTCCATCCAGTCTCCAGACTCCTTCCAACCCGAGGAGAACAACTCCCTACACTATTACACCCCCATTTTACAGATAAGAAAACTGAGGCTCAGATGAAGCAATCTGTCCAGGGTCCCAATCAGCCGGTGTCCCAGGCAGGTGGGTCCCCAGACCGCCCCTTCCAGTGTCACAGAATGGCCAAATCCAAGGGAGGCGGGGCTGACCAGGCTGCTCCTGGCCGTTCCCTATTCCCTGGGCCGGCTGCTCTGTGGGGGACAGGCACCACCTCTGCACCCTCCCACACACTGGGGGCGCTTCAGAAATCTGCTGCCTGAACATGGGGAGCAGCCAGGGCAGCTCATCGGGTCAAGGTGAGAAAGAACCAACTTTCCAAGACAGAACGGGCTGCTCTGGTAGATAGTGAGCCAGCCATCACCAGAGCTCTCCTAGCCTCTTGCGGAGGGAGGGCTCCGCCCGGGCAGCTGCCCCTTCCCCTTTCAGGGGCCAAGGGAGCACCCTCGTCCGGGGGCCCTCAGCCCACTCATTTCACGGAGGGGGAATCCGGCAGGGGGAGCTCACTGGTTCTCAGCCCTGGACATGAGGCCGCACACCCCCTCCCCGCCCAGGACTTACTTGGTCAGCTTCTGCAGGACCTGCTCACACTCCTGCTGCTTCTTTTCCAGCTGCTCCTCATAGGGGAGGGTCCAGAGGGGGGTGACCACGTCGGCGATCTGCTTGGCCACGGGCTCCTCGGCTGAGGAGGCCGCTGCAGCCACCGCGGCCCCCTGGACTGGCCGCTTGGCCTCGCCCTGCCCCCCATCCTCTCCCTCCCTCTTCCTCTTCTTGGCCATGGGGTCGGCTTTGGGCTTGGCCAGCCTGATGCTCAGGCAGCGGCCCTTCCACAGCGCCCCGTGGAGCACCTTCATGGCCTTGTCCCGCTCCTCCTCACTCTTGAAAGTCACGAAGGCGAAAGTCTGCTTCCCGAAGAGCTTGGTCTTGTGCGGGTGCAGGCCATACTTGGCCAGAAACTTCTTCACGTCATTGAAACCCACGTAGCGGGGCACGTTCTGGATCTCCACCTTGTAGATCTCGGAGGTGAACAGGTCATCCTTGATGTAGCGGTACATGCCTGGGCCGCCGGGGCCTCCTCGCAGTTCTCGGCACCGTCCGGGGGGTCCTCTGTCTCCCGCATCTCCTCCCTCACCTTCACAGGCTCGCGGGAGGGTCTCCCCTAGCTGCCCCCTCTTCCTCTGCCATCGTCCCCACCTCTGCAGGGAAAAAAGAAGAGGCATCAGCCCACTCTCCCAACCAGGGGCGGCCAACCCGCATCTGTGGCACTCCGGGCTGCTTCTGCTCCGACTGGGCTTCCATCGGGGGAAGAGTCACGGGATGGCAAAGCCTGTCAAACCCCAGGTGGCCATCTGTGGAACCACAGGCACTGAGCCCTCAGGCAAGGACCAGCCAAGATGCCCCGTTCTGGGAAGAGGTGACCAGGTGGACGTCTTGGGGGCCCTTGGAGAAATGGGTACAAGACGAGCCCCAGATCGGAGGCAGAGGACCCGGCTTCAAGACCCAGCTCTGCTCCTCCACACCTTTGGGCAAGTCCTCCTGAATCCCGGGGGCCTCCTCTTTGGAGGGACCCACCCTGCCACCCCCACTCACCCCTAGCGCACAAAGCAGGCTGGGCAGGAAGGCGGAGGGGACCACCGCAGTACCCAGACTAAGTCCCCCTAGTCTGCACGGCCTCTGCCAGTCCCAGACCTATGACCCCACAAGAAGCAGCTGGGGGCGGGGAGCACTGGAAGCCCCCCACCCTGGGGAGGAGCAGCTGTTGTGGGGAGGGGGCTGGAGGAATGGTCCTCAGTACTAGGGGTGTCAGAGACCCCGGAGGGGACCTGGGCCACCAAGAGATGCCTCGGCCCAGGGAAAGACTGGGGGCTTCTTGTGGATGGGGGGCGGGACGGACCCCTCCCCTTGGGTGGGATATGGGAAGCTCAGACCACGCACCCGCGCTGGCCTCGGGGGCGCCGACCTGCTCTGGACACCCGAGTGGGGCTCGAATCCGTGGCCCCAGGAAGGCTGCTCTCGACCCTCACCCTGAGATCGAGGACACGCAGACCCCGGTGCGTTCCGGCTACATCCCCACCGCGCAGGCGCACCACTGCCACTATCGCGCAGGCGCACCACGCCTCCACGCAGTCGCACCTCCCCGGCCTCCACCCCCCCACCCCGTCTGTGTCAGCCCGCCAGCCTCTCAAAGCCATCCCTTCCTCTGAGGCGGAGCCGCGCCATATACGTCATCACGTCCCGCCCTGAGGCACCAACCACCTCCCTCGGTGTTGGCCTCTTCCCGTCTCCTAGTGATTCTCCTCGAAAACCCGCCCCCTTCATTGGCCCTGCTCCCGCCCCCGCCGCTCTCAACCCATTAAAGCCTCCGGACTTGAAAACGGAAGTAGGCGGTCGCTTTCGGCGGGGCCGGAAGTGGACGAGGCCGTCGCAGTGGCCGTCGGGAAGGCGGGAGCTGCGGCCTGGTTGGGGCACAAAGCCCCCGGCGGGGCGGAGTGGGGCGTTTCTTGGAGTCGGGGGCGGCGCGCCCCCGAGGCCCGGCGCGCGGCGCTTTGGGCGGGAAGCCGGAGGGGGCGGAGAGAGCAGGCGGAAGGAGGGGCGGGGCAGGACAATGGCTTGTCCGCTGCCCGCGGCCCCGGCGCCTCAATAAAGTTGCATTGGTTTTGAATGCGCGGGGGCGGGGGCGTGTTTCCCGCCGCCGCCGGGGTCAAGGGGCCGGGGTCGCGCGCGCGCGCGCGGCGGCGGGGCTGAGCTGAGGTAAGCGCGGGGCGAGCAGGCGCCAGCGCCAGAGGAAGTACGGACCGGACCGAGCGCCGCCGCACCGCCGGGACCAACCACCGCCGCCGTCGCATCGCCTCCCGCTCCGATGGCGGCTGCCAAGGTGCGTGCTCGTGCGAGGGGCCCGCCGGGCCGGCACGGGGGGGGGGGGGGGAAGCGGCCCGGCCGCCGCGCTGGGGGCGCCCGGCGGGGCCCAGGCCGGCCGGCCGCGCGTGGCTCCTCCGGGCCTCCGTAGGCCTCGGCCGAGACTGGGGGGGGCCAGGCCGGGCCGGGCCCAGGCTCTCATGGGGGCCGAGCTCGGCGGGAGGCGGGCGGCGCAGCCCGAGGTCTAGGCCGGCTCGGCGGGGCCCCGGCGGCCACGTGGGCCGGGAGGCGGCGGGGCCTCGGCCCGGGCTCGGCCTGCGAGAGGGGCCGGGGCCTGGGGCCCCAAAGGAGCCTCGCGGTCCCTGCTGGGCCCCCTCCCCGCCAGGCCAAGGTCACGCGGGGAGCGGTTCGCCAACCCCCCCCCTTCCCACGTTGGTGCGAGAGGGGTCTGAGCGGGCAGAGCCAGGGCTGCTGCGCGCATTTATTGAGCGCCTATTGCGTGCGGGCGGGTCGTGTCGCTGTAGGCTGCGAGCCCGAGGTGACCCATGAGGCCTTGGTGCTGCAGCAGGAAGCGGGTGGAGGAGGGGGGCCTCTCACCCCCCCCACCCCGGCCCAGATGCACGTGGGCCCGGAGGGTTCCCGGCCCAGCCCTGCTCCTCAGGCCGAGGACTTTGGGCCGCGGTCACTCGTGGCCTCCCGGCCTGAAGCCTCCGCCTAAGGTGAGTCCCGAAGGTCAAGGCGCGCTCCTGAGAACGTTCTTCCTCCGGAACCGAAAATGACTCGGATCCTACTAACTGGAAACGTTGATGCCTTTTGGCAAACTTTAAAGCAACTACTGCAGAGAAGTCTGCTCCACAAAGCGGGACCTGGCCCAGAGCACGCCTGTGCTTATGCTGGACGTGCGGGTTCGATGGCCATTTGAACAAATCGGAGTACAAACCTGCCCGAAAATTCAGCTCTAAACTGAGACTTTCTTCCACACGTACGTCTGGAATTCTGATTCAATCAAGTCTGTCGGTTGCTCCTGTAAAGATATGCTAATCTGCTCCCGTGGCTTCACTTAGCATTCCTGCAACGTGAGGGATGAAGATGCTCTGGCGCCACTCCCTAACATGCTTGTCCGCCTTTATTGATGGAAGCTTCTTGAGGGTGGGGCTGTCTTCTTTATATTTGCATCCCCTACACTTATCCTCCACTCATTCGGTCCTGGGATTTCTTAGATACAATTGGGCGCCTGCTATGTTCAAATCCTTGTGCTGGAGTTTTTAGCAGTCTAGTAACAATCCCTGTTTGCCAGACAGGTGGTCGGGAGAAGGCGGTCTGACCGTGGAACAGAGCAAAGCTTAAACTGGCTTTCTCTTGAGTGATTTGTGGATTATTTATGGTAAATTTTTAATCCTGGGACTATTTTGCTGCCTTCTGTCCTGATTCTTCTACCACCATCACCTCCCCTGCTCAATCTACCTCCCACTTAATGTATGGCTTCTGTGGAAGGAATGCCAGCGATTTTGCGAAGTCTGAAAACTCACCGATTAAGTAAGGAAAGACCACCAGCCTGAATCCCTTAGGAAGGTGGCCATTATAAACAAAGTTCCGACAAGGGGTTTATCTTAAAGCAACCTTGGGAAATGCCAGCAGCATCGTAGAGCGGAGGGGAAGGGACCCACTCTCCTAAGGTCCTGCGGCTGTGCTCCCCACCCCATGCCTTTGAGTGTGGTTGTTTTTTTTTTAATGATGCAGCATCATCCCCCAAACCTCTTCGTAGGCTGCACAAGCTCTATAGAGTCCCAGGCTTGCCGTGTCCAGATCAATTTGGAGCTTACTGCTTCTATAAATTTGTTTTCCTGCAGTTTTTTTTAGTGGGGAATAGCCAGTGTCCGAAATGTTCATCTTTTTCCTTTCCCATCCATGTTATAATTATTGCCAGAAACATGAGTTGTAGATGGACGCTTGTGCCTTTCACGTGTTCATCCTTCTGGTGACAAGGTTGTGTGTATTTCTGAATGAAAAGTAACACATTTTCAGAAGAAATCCCGAGAGAGCCCCAGCACGAATGTTTTCTGCCGACTCCCAAGCTCGTGGCCTTGGCTTTTCTTCTTCCGCAGTCATCCTTTTAGGATGGTAACTCTTGTTCCTTGGCCAAGCGTCCATGGTCTGATGACCTGCTGAGACCAGTGCATGTAACCTGTGCAGGTTTTACAGTGTGTAAAGTGGAAATGGAGTAGAACTTGTTTCCTCCTTAGTACTTGGATCCCCACCGTGCCTGGCACAGAGAGAGCTTAACAAGTGCCCGTTCATTGTGGCTGCCAGGGGGCGCCACAGTGCACGAGTGCTGGGCCTCCAGTCAGGAAGGTCTGAGTTCAGATCTGCGCGTGGGTGCCTACCAGCTCTGTGATGCTGGACCACTCGCTGTACGTTTGTCTGCCTCTGTTTCCTCAGCTGTAAAATGGGGCCGATAACTTACCGTCCTCCCAGAGTTGTTGTGAGGATCAGATGAGATCCCATTTGTAAAGTGTTCTCTCTGAAGGGCAGCTGTGACTATTCTTGTTGGTTTGGGTTGCGTGCTGGGGGCTTGGTGGCGCTCACGTGCATCTGTCTCTGGTCCCTTCCCAGGAAGCTCACGAGGAGCACGACACCTCCACAGAGAACGTGGACGACTCCAACCACGATCCGCAGTTTGAGCCCATAGTGTCTCTTCCTGAGCAGGAGATCAAGACCCTTGAAGAAGATGAAGAAGAGCTCTTTAAGATGTAAGTGAGACGAGGGCGCGGGCTGCGCTCCCACAGCGGGATCTTAGATATTGAGCTAGAAACCTCGTGTACTCCGAGCCTTGTTTTACAGATGAGGAAACTGAGTCTCGAAAAGGAAAAGGGCCTTGCCCGAGTCACATGGGTAGGAATAGAGTCAGGATTTGAATCCGGCGCTCATCCCGTTGCCTGGCTGTGTAGACTCATATTTCGTGGTGGTGCTAGTCAGTTTTACAAGTGATGACGATTCTGGGAGTGCAGAGTTGATGCTTCTTAACCACCCACAGCCACATAGCTAGTATATCACGGAACCAGGATTTGAGCGGCCTCCTGGCCACTCTCTGGGCTGTCCGGAGCTGGGGGGGCCCTGTACGCTTTGCAGCTGGAGCAGGGCCAGAGCTGCTGCCTTTGGGTTGTCATGCTGGAGCCCTCCCTGTATCTGGTGAGCTGGATAGCCTGAATCAGAAAGGATGTGGAAAGGGACTTCACAGAGAGCACGAGATGGGATGGGAGCCGACTATGGGGGGGAGGGCCGTGGTCGACCTTAGGAGAGTTGGGGTGGAGGTGTCCCATCTGGCTGGCCCCGAGGGATGCTTTGAGACTTTTCGGGAGCCACGTGTGATGTATGACAGCCAGAACTGGATAAAGAAACTAGAGGTGAATGAGAAGGATGAGGGGAAAGGAAGTGGAGACTGGATGGGAAATGCCAGGGGTTGAGGGAAGAGAGAGCCTTGAGAGGTGGTGGGGTTCAAAGGGGAAGAAATGGAGCACGGCCGCCAGGGTGCAGGGGCTGGCCCAGGGGATTCTGCCCCGGCTCTCTCCCACCTTGCACTTGTGCCGCCTCTCCAGTGAGAGGGACGGCTCAGAGTCGTCCAGCCCAAACACGTGGCCGGGTGCATTTTGTCTGGAGAGGCGGCAGGTGGCTGTCCTCTCCTCAGCTTCCCTAGGTAGGCGTCTGCCTCTTCAGTCAGAGCCAGGAGCATTCTGTGGCCTGTGGCGTGCACCCAAAGCACGGCTCCTTGGCTCCTCCTCTGCTGCCCAATAGGCAGGACATACCCCACCCTCGGGGTCCTCATTGGTCAGCATCTCACTGCCAGACCGTGTCGTTTCTGCCCCCGCCCCCACCGTCTCACACTGGCCCTCGTCCCCCTGGGGGGGGTCACTTCTCGCCCAGTGATCCTGGTCTGGCCCAGTCATTGTTAGCTGTGGGATGCCCCTGCCCCCGAGCACCAGTGGGTCAGCCCCAAGGTTATTTGAAGTCACCTTTGTGTGTTTGTGTGCTCTGTGTAATGTTTGCTGATGCCTGTGTGTGTCACCTCCTAGCTCCCCTGGAGAATTTGAGTGGGGTGGGGGGCGCTGCTTGGCTCTGTATCTCCACTCCCCGTGCCTGGCACACAGTAGGCGCCTGCATGATTCCTACTGTGTTCTTGTCCCTACCCTTTGTTCTGTTCTCGGCATGCTCGGGATCCTCCCCTCGGTCTCCTGAGTTTGGGCTGCTACCAGCACGGTGTGTGAGACCTGGCTCGGCTCCTCTTCTGATCGCGTGCTGTGCAGCCTGCCCGCTCCTGCCATGCTTCTCTCTGTTGCCTTTTGGGGGTCCCGTGAACTTGGATTCTTAAGTGACTGTGGGATGGTTTCCACCCTTCCCTGATAGGATGAGCCGGAGAAGACCATTGTCCCAGAAAGTTAGGCCCCGGTCTCAGGGAGGAGCGCAGGGTATTCAGAGTGCTGCCTTTTAAGATGGGGTCCAGCCTCTTTCCCTCCCCCCTCTGTCCTGTTCTCTTCTGTGCGTGCTTTGTAGTGGTCATCCATCTGTGGACCGAGGGGCCCTTCCCTCCAGCTGCAGCTTCGTTCTGGACTAGGAGCGAGCACTCTGTGTGCTGGGCTTTTCCTGTGGATCCTCCTTCACTGAAAGGAGACGTCTCTGTCTGTATCTGGAGCATTTTTAACAGCTCGTTGCAGCATTCTGCATTTTCTGATGTCACATTTCATCAGCCTCTCTGATTTCACCCCATTCCTTTGATGCGGGGAGTTGGGGGCTGGGGTAGAAATCTGTGTTGTGGCCCTAGGTCTTCAGCCGCTCAGGGTGACGTGGTGTAGAGCATGGGAGGCTGGGCCTGGGGGCCTGGATGTGGCTGGGGACAGCCTCTCAGACGCGGTACCTCAGTCAGTAGTTGTAAAATGGGGAAACAACACTCACAAGGTTGGCATGAGCGTGACGATAGCCATTTTCCAGATGTATTTGTGTCTTCTGTATTAGCAGGATCGTTGTTGATTAACACAAGTAAATGAGCTGGCTTTGAACATGTTTATTGCCCAGCCACAAGAAATTGGATGTTAGCGAAGCAGAGCCTCTCCTTGGGCGACAAGATGGGAATAGTATCAGGGGTGAAAGCTCGCACCCAGTTCTGTGCACTTGGTAAACACGTTTTCCCATGAGCCCGTTTCTCTTGCCGAAGGAACGAGGCAAGAGCGATATTCGTCTGTCCCAGGAGGAGGGCGCGCGGCTCGTCCTGTCTCGGGTTGTCATGCCACAGTTCTAAGTTGTATCGTGTGGCGGCGTGTCCTGTGCTAACTCAGTGAGTCTCTCCAAAGGCGGGCCAAGCTGTTCCGATTTGCCTCTGAGAATGACCTTCCAGAATGGAAAGAGCGAGGGACAGGCGACGTGAAGCTGCTGAAACACAAGGAGAAAGGGACGATTCGCCTGCTCATGAGAAGGGACAAAACTCTGAAGATCTGTGCAAATCACTATAGTACGTACCCCCTCTTTGTTCTGCTTGTGGTAACGCAAAGGCAGCGCCAGCGGCCTGGTTTGCGTAAGCCTGAGAGTTAATGCCGGGAGTTTAAAATCTAGAGTTAAGATGTATTTTTAAGAACTCTTCTCTGGATTGGGAATGTCTCTGGATGAGTCAGAATTAAAGTGGAGAATGATGCGAGCTGGAATGGCAGGCTAAGGCAAGGAGAAATCCTGTGCCGAGGGGGATGGAGGGCAACAGCGGGGGCCCTATGTGAGCCCCCGGGGTGAAAGCGCTGCCTTCTGGACTTTGTTTTAAAAAAAGAAAGAAATCCGTCTTCCCTGGTAGAGAGAGGGAGACTTGCACAGTAGCTGGTCTGTGCCTTTAGACTAGCGGTGTGCCACAGGCTGGCAGATGGTGGAGTTAAAGGGACCCCAGTGGGGTGGCTTGGGAAGTGCGACTGTCAGCCGAGTACAGAAGCCAGGGCTGTCATAGACGTGTGGGATCGGCCCTCGCTGGACTAGGAGGTGAGGCTGACAGCAAGGGCTGCCCCCTCAAAGAAGTCTCCACTGGGAGCCCTAGTGCTGGTACTCCTTCCCCTTCCCCCTGCCCTTTTTGAAGGAGGAAAAAAATGGGCTCAGAGAGGGGAAGCTAGCTATTGGAGGTCACACAGCAACTTGGGTCTAGGACCCAGTTTGATGACGTGTCTAGCACACTGCCATTTTTAAAAAATCATTTATTTATTTATTTGTTTGTTTATTTCTTTGTTTTGCCTTTGTCCTGCCTAAGACGCCATCTTTATGCTTCTGGGCAAGTCACTTAACCTTCCTGGGTTTCAGTTTCCTCCTGTGAAAGGAAGAGGTTTGGGATTTGTCTCTTTCTAAAGCAAAAATGGAACTCAGTGATCAGGGATCACGGATTTCCTCTGGTCAGTGTAGTAGGTGCTGCTGGAGAGCCCATTCCCAGGGATGGTCAGCTGAGAAGGAATATCCTTTCTGAGGGTATTGATAGGTCTTTTTTTGTTTGTTTGTTTGTTTTGTTTTTAGGCAATTGGGGTTAAGTGACTTGCCCAGGGTCACACAGTAAGTGTGATGGGTATTCTTTAGACACTGCAAATTAATTCCCTAAGTAGTTTACGGACAGCAGGCTGTCTCCAACTTTGACCTCCTGGGAATGGTGTTGACTGGGGTGTGTCATCGTAGTTTAGTTCTGGGCATGCTATTATCAGAGCAGGGGATTCAGTGGGAGAAACGCAGGTATGGCAGTGGGGTTGGGACGCAGCCCTTGCTCTTTCCTGTTTCCTGCTTTAAAAAAATTTTTTTATGCCTTTGAAGTCGGTGTAAATGGTGTTTGGGATGTGCTGTGGGGTTTGTCCATAGTTGTTTTCCTGATCCAGTCTGTTTTAATTTCTGCTTGAAAAACAAACGTCTACTACAATAAAGATACTGTGCCAGGAGGCAGAGATACAGAGACGGACACAATAGTCCCTGCTTCAGACACAACTGAGCTCCCATAGCCCGGCCCAGGTCAGGGGTGGCCTCAGGGCCTTGTCTGCTGGGCCCCACTAGAGCCAGCCTGCTGCCACTGCACACCGAGGCTTTTCCCCAAGTTGAACAAGCTGTGTGTTTCTACTGAGCCTTTTTTTTTTCCAGTATAATTGAGGTGACAGGTAAAAATTGAAGTCTTCCTGTCCTGTCCCTACACTACAGGGTGTAAATAGAGAAGGCAGAATGCAGAGTGCAGGCATAGAAAGCCTGCTGCCTTCTTCAAAGAGCAGGGGAGCAGCCTTAGGGTTTCCATTGACTTTAGCCGGGCGATGGCCACATGAAGGATCGTGGGGGAACCTGTGCCTGGGAACGCTAACCTGTCTTTCCCCCTTTCTTCTCCCAGTAACACCATTGATGGAGCTGAAGCCCAACGCAGGCAGTGACAGGGCCTGGGTCTGGAACACACACGCTGACTTTGCTGATGAAAGTCCCAAGCCTGAACTGCTGGCGATTCGATTCCTAAATGCAGAAAGTAAGTGAGACGGTCCGAAGGAGGCTGAGGTTTGCAGAGACTCCAAAAGCAGCTCTCTCTGCCCCATACTGTGTGACTATCAGCTGATGACCCTGGCTCTCGGAATTGGAAGGGACCTTAGGGCTCATCTGATCCAGCCTTTGCGTTTTACGGCTAAGGAAACTGAGGCTCCGGAAAGGAAATGACTTGCCTGAGGTGTCACAGGTAGACTCCCAATCCAGTGCTTTTTGTCCCTAAGGAATGAGGAGTCTTGCTTGGCTTTAATTCTTCTCAAGTCCTGACTAGGGGCTTTGTGTTCACTCTGCTGATGGTTGGTGAATGAGGAAGACTCGTCCACCCAGTGCTCCTGATTAGGCTCAGGGGAAGGGAGAAGGCAGCCCAGAGAGGCCGTAGTCTGCCCTCACTCAGGGGGTAAGGAGTGAGGGTGGATTTTCCCCAGATTTGACTACCTTTCCTTGCCGCCACTTCCTTCCAGTGAAGGGTGGGCATGTCCCGGGAGCCCTGGGCCACGGGTTTTAGAGCACAGAAGTTTTGTTGGTAAAATGTTGGCATTCTGAGCACGACCTGGGGGCTTGGGAAGCACATTTCCTTATTCTTTGGTACAAACAGCCTTGATGGGCCGGTGAAAGATTCCAGTGTTTTGTGGCCGAGGAAGGCGCTCTGGAGGGGCAGTGTGTTGTGGAGGGCAGACACCCGTTGGAATCCTAGGACCTCAGTCAGACTGCCCATTAGTCGGGGGGCTGGTGCAGTCAAAATCAGGAAGACCTGACTTGAAGCCCTGTGGCCCTGGGTAGGTCACTTAACCTGTCTGCCATTTGTTGAGTGCCTCCTATGCGCCAGGCATGGTGCTAAGCTGAGGTGGAGATAATGATAGCACCTGCCCACCTTGCAGGACTGCTGGGAAGAGCCAATGAGATCACAGCTATGAAAGCACTTGAGCTCTATGCCTGGCACACAGTAGGTGCTCTATAAATGTTTATTCTCCCCACCTGTCGTCTCTGCTCCCTGGGTAACTTTGGGCAAGTTATTTCAGCTCTGGGCCTCAGTTTCCTCTAGGTAGTGTAGATAGTCTCTAAGGCCTCTTCCGACTCTGAGTCTGTGGCCCTAAATCTCAGCGCTAGGGTGTCCTGGGTAGGGTTGTTCTCAAGATTATAGTGGATGGGTCACTCCGCCATTGAGCTTCATTTTCCTCATCAATAAAATGGGCTTGGGTGTGAGAAGCTCCTTTTGAGGATTTAAGCACTGGGAAGCTATCGAGGTGAGCGAAACCCGTGAGGGTCCCGCCTCAGCCCTTCTTCACCTCCAGGCTGCAGGCATGGTGCTTTCATGGTGCCTCCCACTGAAATGGAGGGATGGAGGGGTGAAATCTCTTTTCCTCTTGTAACTAGATGCCCAGAAGTTTAAGGCAAAGTTTGAAGAATGCAGGAATGAGATAGAAGAACGAGAAAAGAGAGGTAAGAGTCCCTGTGTCTGTTTCTCGCTGTCCCCCGCAGACTCACTCTGTACATGACTGCCTTCCTCAGTCTTGCTGCTTTTCCAGTCTGCTAGAGAAGTGACCCATGCTACTGCAAACACCTTTCTCTGGTGAAAGGCCATTGCATCTGCTTGGGAAACATCCCGGAGCCTGGGTGAGGCTGTCAGGAGGGCTCTTTATGAGTCTCCCTGCAGGTTCCATAGACTTGCCATGGCTGCATCCTCTTTTCTTTTCCTTTGTAGATCAATCAGAGAAACGACGGTAATTAGGGAATTGAATGAATGGCCATGATTCTGGGGCTGCCAGGGCTGACTTCTCTGGAACCTCAGGTTTCTGTGCCTTTGGGTAGGGCTGACAAAAGTAGAGTGACGACATAGTAATAACTCCACCTACTTCCTTTTAGTGTGAACAAAAACGGGGGCAAGCTATAGAAGTTGGCTAAACAGCTTGATTTTGCCTCCAAATCTAGTATTTTAAATGATAAAGTCATTTGGAGAACAATTTTAAGCAATAAACATAGGGAATCAAGCTTCTCTGCTGGGCTTCAAGTGAGCCTCAGGGCCAGCCTCAAGTGTCAGGCCCCACTGGGGCACCTAAACTCTTCGGTTGGGCCAGCCTGTGAGTTCTGAGCCCGTTGGGTTCCTGGCGATCCAGGGCGAGGAGTGGCCCCTCTGAGAGGCCCAGCCAAGCTGCAGCTGAGCCAAAGACCCTGCGGCCCGGGGCGAGGTCTGAGTCCAGCTCTGGCGCCTGTGCCCACTGGTCCTTGCCACGTCGAGGCTGCAGCGGCTGCTGCTGACTCCCCCGGTTGGTGTGTTTTAGCAGGAGCAGGCAAAGAAAACACCGATAAAGTGGTGGAGAAGTTGTCGGAGCTGTCGGTGAAGGAGGAGGAGGAGAAGGAGAAAGAGAAGGAGGAGAAGGAGAAGGAAGGCAGCCAAGAGCCTGAGAGCCCCTCGGCGCCCGAGAAGGAGACCAAGGACCAGGACGTGTTACTGCAATAAATCATCTCGCGGGCCTCGCCTTCTTTCCTTTTATTTTCTTTATTTTTGTTTCATTTTGTTTGTTTTTTTTTTTTACAAGGGACTTTATAAAAAGAACTGAATTCCAGCCTCCAGGTTGTTTTCTAAGCTTTTACCCTTTCGAAGATGTCTTCAGCAAACCCATTCCCAGTCACATGTACTGCGCTCGTAACATTCTTTTCCATAGTGGAAACACTTATTTATAGTGCATCCAAAAGAGTGAATAAACCGTTTGAAAGCTGCCTCCCAGGACAGGCCTGAGTCCTATATGTTCACTCAGACACACTGACGGCTGTGACTCCTGGCATCGGTTGTCTTTGTGTCTCTGACTTAGGGTTCTGGGGGTGCATCGTTGAGTCTGACGGTGCCGTTGGGGATGGCCCGCCTGCCCCGGGCAGATGCTGCTTCGTTCGTGGTGTGCCAGTTAACACAGCACGGTTGCAGCAGCATTTCCTGGGGGGTGCAGTCGGCATGGCTTGACTTGTCTTCCCGTGGGCACTTGTCCCTGGGAAGTTGTGGAGGAGGGCGCTGTGTCGTGGCCTTGGCCAGCCTGGGAGTCAAAGGGAAGCTGGTGGAAGCGGCCCTTCTATGGCCTCGGCGTGTGGGTCACGGCTTTGGGCGTTCTCCTGGCAGGCACGTGGGCAGAGGGGTCCCGCTCTCGGTCCTTGTTCTCTGTAAACTGCACCTATGTGTTTCATTCTTCTGGCATAGGGCACTTCCCCCACGGGCATCCTCCCTGCACCTGGGACGCTCGTCCTTGGGCCGTGGAACACTCCTTGTGTGGCGGTTCAGTTCGAGAGTCTAGGTGTCGCAGGCGGCTGGCTGCCTGTCACATAGGGGAGCTCCTCGAGGGGGGGAAGGGCCTTGGTGACAGACGGGCGACACTGAGGCCTCTGGCCAAAGGGAGGATAGTGAAGAGCAGTGAGCGGGGCTGCCCGGGGCGGTTTCGAGTCCGAGTGGAAGGAAGGCATGGTCAGTGTCAGGCTCTGCCTCTCTTCTTGTTGTCTGGAAGGCAGGCAGCCCCTCCCAGAAGGAATTGCAGTCTGTCATTCCCCAGCACCCCCAGAAGTGAAGAATACCTCAGCTGCCTGCGTGCCCTCAGGGAAGTCATCGCTTGGGTGTGGCTGTGTGCTGTGTGTCCCTTCTCTCCATCTCTCTGGCTGCTCACCTGGGGTGCTTGTGTCATGTCTTAAGTTCTGCTCTTGTCCAAGTTTTAAGCCAAGAACTTTCAGCCTGCTTAAAATGAAAGGCCCTCCCATAGGGAGGATGGTTTTACCATTTAATTGCTGAAGGTTTTGGGTTTTTTTTAACATTTTATTCTGCCATAAGCTCGAGGAATGTTGACCAGCCGTGAAGCTCCCCCCAAGGCTGGAGTTTTATTTCCACTATTCACTGTGAGCTTTGGAAAGCAACATAAGCGATTGAAAAGCATATTAGCCTATAGTGTTTCTTAGTAGTAATAGTAAAAGGACTCACTTCAGTCAGATTTTTAATCTTGGCAGGTTCCCTTCAATTGTTTTCCTTCCCACCCACCAAAGGTGCTTTATTTAAAACAAAACAAAGAAAGCATGTCCGTCTCACTTGCTGAAGGTCCTTACTTAGCATCTCTACAAGTTCACCCGTGTTTATAATGTCCCCGCTATAGATGTTAACGTTATGACTTGGTGTTTTCCCTGTTCGGGTCTGTGTTTGTCCATTTAAAAATACCAGCCCCTGATCCCTTCTCAGTGGAGTGCCCTTCCAAAGGAAGAGTGTGATTGTTTTAAAGGGAAAAAAAATGCAAAGTGGCTAACGGAAAGCTTCCTTCTCCAACTGCTAAACTTGTATTCTCGTCCTGTTCGGTTTTGTAAAGCGCAGTGAGTCAAACTGTGCTCGGCCGAGTCGGTGAAGGAGGAGGAAAAAGACCACTTCAGACGTCAGATGTTAGCGCAATAAAGAGTGAAGCGATTGCACATGAAATCAAATGTTCTGTCATGCTCTCTGGCGTTGGTGCATCGGAAACCTGAAATGTACTCCGTGAATGTGCTGTCGGCTTTGATTTCCTCCTGTGCTGACCCTGCTGGAGTGAGTTCTTGGGGAACAGGAGGGTATGTTTTAAATGCTTTCATTGAAGTTATGTGTGTGAAAGGGGCTGTATGTCCCCAAGATGCTCTCCCCGTGACACGGGAAGCCAGGGAGGGGTGTGGGGTATAAGCATATCCCGGGCACTTGCCCTCCCCCTTCCAAAAAGAGATCTTGTCTCACTCTGTAATTGTTTTGTGTTCCAATAAAGTGCCACTTAACGTATTTCTCCAGGGAGCCTCAGCTTGGTTTTGTCAGAGTGGATCGAAACTGAGCTGGCTCCCTTGTCCAGCCTGGGGGCTTATAAGAAGCGTGTAGGCAAGGCTTGCGAGTTCTCTGCCACCATCCGTGGCTGTCAAGCCACAAGACAGCCCTGACGCAAGAATTCCCGTGGAATCCTTGGTTTGGAGCCTTGGTGAACAATTCCGAATGGGAGTGTTTGAAAGATACTCTGGCTGTTTTATTACTCCATTAAGGAGAGAGCAAACATAAGAAACCCGAGGCCCAGGGATATTGTAACTTGACCAAGCTCACACAGCCTAGTTAGAACCTGGGTCCCTTGACTCCATGACCCCTCGGTGAGAGACTGTCTGTTTGGAAGTCGGGGATACCTGGACATTTAGCCCTACCCTGACAGTTAACATCCGTATGACCCAAGGCCAGACGCTGAACCTTAGTAACCCTCAAGCAGCCTGTCCCTGTGAATTCTGCCCTCCTTTTGGGCAGCCCACCCAGTGGCTAATGCTTGGTTCTCATTTCTCAAGCACAGTGCAGCTGAGTGTTAACTGTGGCATGAAGGAAAGAGTAGGGACCATGAAGTGGGGAGGCTTGGGTTTGAGTGATTGCCATTTAATCACCACCTAATCTACCTATGTCCTCACCTCTCAGGTCTGAAGAGCACCATAGAAACAGGAGCTGGTGTCCCTGTTGGGGAGCAGAGACTCCCTGATCACGGCATTCCTGCCCCCTGGTTTTATAGGAAGGGAAGATTCTGGGCCAGGTCCCAGCATTGGGAGGGAATAAGAGGAGGGGTAAAATATCAGAAATTTTATAGCTGGGTTCAAAGTCACCCCCCGTTTCAGAATCTGTGAAAGAACCGATGGAAGAGACATTTTGAAAGAAGCAGCCATGAATCCAAGATCTTTCCAGGAAGATGCTGAATATTCTTTGGGAAGCAATTCTTTTGAACTTGACTCCGTAGTACGGAGGCCTGTCTGCTGTCCCCTGGATCTCAAATTACAAACCTGTGGGGTGGTACCCATGTTAGTGAAGCTGTCCGAGTGGAAGATGAAGCCTTCCATGTGTAGCTCTCCTCACCCTGCGCTTTGCCTCCACTGTGCATCGTACATTGATCAAACCCCTACGATGCGCAGGCTCCTGGGCGAGTAGGGATGAAGTGATGAGCAGCCCCTGCCCGGAAGGACTGTGGATGAGCTGGGATCCAGGGCTAGTGTACCCTTAGCTCAAGCAGCTTTAAGGGCAGAAGATCAGGCAGTGCAACATCCCGTGCAAAAAGCTTCCCAGCTTTCCGTTTGTAAGCTGCAGGGTTAAGAGACAGTTGTCTTCCTCCCTTGTGCGTTGGAAGGGATGAGTTCACGGGCTGCTCTCGGCTGCTCTCGGTACCTCGTGGCAGTGCGCCCTTCCCCAGGTCAGTAGGTAGGCACCACGTTCCCTGCAGTAACCCAGGGAGGGCAGACAGGCGCTTCCCCGTTTTCTGAGGAATCTGGGAGTGACTCATCCAGTGTCGTGGAATCAGAGCTGGAGTTTGAGCCCAGGTTATCTGGGCCATGGCTCTGTGATCCTTCCATGGGGATCCGTGGAGCATGCTCCGTGCGGGCAGGAAAGGGCTGCTTCCGCACCTTAGTCAGGCTTTTGGTGTGGCTCTTTACTTTGGTTTGTTGTTGTTGTTGTTGTTGTTGTTTGGGTTGTTTTGGTTTTTTGTTTGTTTTTTGGTTTTAGGCAGTTGGGGTTACATGACTTGCCCAGGGTCACACAGCTAGTAAGTGTCATGTGTCTGAGACTGGATTTGAACTCATGTCCCCCTGACTCCAAGGCCAGAACTCTATCTACTGCACCACCTAGCTGCCCCTTGGCTCTTTACTTTGAAATGGAATATTGCCAGTGGGACATTGGCTGCACACAAGGGTCACAAGGCCGCCTCCCCCCACTGCCTTAGAGAATCCTCAAGAGTTGTGGGGAAAGCTACTATTTGGTGGGCAGCCTGTGCACTGCAAGCCAATGTGGACCCTTACCTTGTCCAGCCTGGCAAGTCCTATGAGAGCTGAGATTTCCATGGCAGAACTTAGGGGAGTCAACCCAGGTCATCACCTCTCCCTGATGAAGCCGTGGACCAGAAGGTTAGTGGAGGCTTAACCTTGCCTATAATGGGCAGGTTCCCTATTATAGGAAGTGAACCAGAGACAGGTAAAATTATGGACATGAGTCAGTTGACCTTGGTTCAAATTCCAGTCCCATCGTTTACCAGGCATGTACATGATCTTGGCAAGGTCATTTCCTAGAGCTGATCCTCAATTTCTTCATTGATCAAATTCAGGATGGAGTAGGTGATTCCCTGAGGTTCTCTTGGAATCCTCTAGATCTGAGATCTGGCATACAGTGAGTGCCAAATAAATGTCCTACTACCCATTCATCCATCTGTTTCCCTCAGATTTGCCTGTCCAAGGACGTAGAGCTGGAATGAAATCTGTCTTTGAGACTGCCATGCCTTGAGGCGCAGTGTGTTGGACTTAGAGGGACTGGGTTCAGATCTCTCTGGCGTCTGGCCTCTGTTCATCTATAAAATGGCGGGATGGGATTGGATGGCTTCCTCAGTCCTCCTCCAGCTCTGAATCTGTGGTCCAGTCTTGTCCTCTCATTTTACCAGAGAGGAAACACGCTCAGAGTCATGTGGATGGTAAAATACTTAGCAGAGCTGGGCTAATCACAGCGTTTGGGTTCAAAGTGCAGTGGTCCATACACAAGGCCTGCTAGCAATGAGAGGATGGCCATTTTATACTGCTTTGTTAGGTCCTCCAGTTATGAACACAATAGCAGTGTTAAGACCGAGCCAAGCAGTTATAATCCTATTGGAAGGACCTCAACACCTAGTCGAACCCTTTCCTGGCCAAGACTCCACTCAAGGTCATGCCCAGTGAGTGGCCATCCAGTCACTGCCGTGGTGAGGCAGAAAC